CGACCGCGTTGCTACACCCAACGAACGTGGCACAGTGGAATTGCACCGAGGAACTCGGTGTTTCAGACTTCACCGTTCTCGACTCCATGACAGCCACGTGTGGCTGTGGAGAGTCGACGACAACGGAAACATCATCTTCTGGAGAGTTGACGACGGAAACATCATCTTCTGAACAAGGTGAGTTCCGTCGCACATGTGTTGGTTGCTTCAGTCCGGGCAAGGTGGGGACATGTGTCGCTGTACGTGGAAACTTCGGAGCTTTACAAGTTGAAACCTACCCTAGCCTGGACGTCGAAAGAGGGGGCCAGACACCGTGGTTTGCTGGGTTCCCCTCGTTGCACCACAAGCCTCTTTGCCTTCAATGCTCCTTTGTTTGGCGGTCTCAACTGGTTTCGTAATTCGTGCGAAACAAGATACGCCGGTGGGTGCCATCGCTGGAGGGGTGGTGGCGGGCGTACTGGTGATTGTTGCCGTCATCCTGGCCGTCCTTTTCAAGACTGGTCGCCTGAAGTCCTGCCGCTGGAGCTCTTCCAAAACCTCTGCCGATGACGTCACGCCGGCTCCTCCCCGTTGCCCGGTGCCGGCCGGCAACGCGCGACCTCAGGCCAGTGAAGGCCCCATTTCTCAGTATCCCCGTCCTCCTCAGTATCCCGTGGCTCACCAGTACCCGCAGGCGTTATGAATCGAGTTGCAGGTTGTGAAGCGGCGTTGGCCCCGGAAGCCTTGCTCTGTGGCCTGCGACCTCCTCCAAGCAAGCGTCGCTTGAACAAGAGTAGGCCTGTTGCAGGATTCCCGAGCAGAGACGACTCCGTGCGGTGCTCGACAATTTGAGTGACTCCAATTTGGGGGGGGGGCTGGTTTGGCCCAGTTGACACCGCCCTTGCCTCTGGGCCGTTTGTTGCCTGTAAGGAGACCAACGCAGGGTAAGAATGGAATGTTTTCTTGGGGGCGGTAGCATGTGTTGTCGTTAGGTCGTAAGTGAGAGAAGTGAGAGGCCAAATCGAAGGCATTTTTTGCGTAGAAACTTGTTGTTCCGCGGGGGCGGCTGAAAACCTGTACTGTTTGATGTATCTCAACTTCCTCTTGGCGACAAAGAAGTGGAAGACTTGCTTGCTGTGGCAGCGTGTTGTATTGCGGGGGCATCAAGCGATTTGTGCAGCTCAAGAAGAGTACAGCTTCGGGAAAGACAGTCGCGTCAGATGTTGAAGGATTTTGATGGCCGCATGCGCGATCATGAGGAATATGACGGGGAGGGGGAGTGGTATACTGGTATATTTGTCATCCAGGCGCCTGGTCTGGAACTTGTGGACACCACCCACACAGTAGCAAGTACTGACGGTGATCTTGCAGACCCAGTCCTAGGCGACTGCGTACACTACGCGCAAAGCGATTTCGTATGGAACGTCGTGTATGAAATGTGTGCAAACCGGTCGTTTTCAAACCTCTGATCCCGACTGCGGTACTATGAGCACTGAAGAGTATGAGGCACCCACTGTTGCCGCAACGAGCCTGCCTTCGATACGATGATCGGATAATGACGGTGCTTGCAGTCCCGAACTCGTCTGAAACCCTCCTGGAATCGCCTGCCCCTCGCCGGAACAGAGTCAACGAAATGCTTGGGCCACGATCTGGTCGACCCTGCACCTTTTTCACCCTTTCTAAGCCTGTGTAAGACAAAAACTAATCCGATACGTTCGGTTGTATCAGTAAGGCGGTTTCCTGCCACATAATTGAGTCTTCTCTACGAAGCACTTTTATGCATCGTCTCACCGTGCGTCCAGCGTCACACGCATCCTGAGTGAATGTCTGCCTCTGATCCCGTGGGAGAATGGATGAAAGGGTCGTGAAGACCCCAGTTTCTTTTAACCCGAAATCTCAAAACCGGTAGTACTTCACTTCTGGTTGTGATGGTACCTGTATTTTTTCCCGCTTTCTCGTTGGCCTCCAGACTATCGCTGGTCACTCATTGCCGAAGCGCCTGGAACTATTATGCCGCCCACGGCCAAGGATCCAGTCCAGAATTGGAATTGTTCATATATTTCGTGTTCGTAAACCAAGCAGATCTCCGAAATTCACTCCTCACCATTACGCGCGGCCCGATTGCAGGCTTTCTACGTAGTCGACATTCCACGCAAACTTCACACACCTGTGGATTTCTACCCCCTTCTTTCGCCCCTGCCCCGAGCCCTCGGTGCTGTTGTGTTGGCTTTGGTTGTTCCTCCCAACTCATGCCATTGTGTGGGTTGTGAATCTTACCGACCACTTCTAGTCTCAACTGCCACGAAAAAACAGAAGAAAGTGAACCTGGATTGTCACGGTCGACAAGGATAGACGGCTGAGTTGTTCGCGGCAGATACAAAGGCAAGCACCGTACGAACAAGGAACGCGGATAAAACCCTCGATTTCGCGGTGCCCTAGTGACCCACGCTGGTCCATCGAAACATGTTGCAGGTTTCCATTGCGGGTGCAGATGACTATACGGTAAAGTTCCGACTACGTCACCTCGTTCCGAATTTTTCCGTCCCGAGCAGGTCACAACCGTGGTATCGAAAATGCACCTACAGTATCTATGCATAAGAGAACTCTTGGGAATGAAATATGTTGGCTTCGACTCTCGGCAATAGGGCGAGGGACCGCTGAACCATCTCGCGACAAAATCCGATGCTCAGACAGCAGGAGGTAGCCCAATAGGGAGTCCAGGTCTGTCTACAGAATGAACATGAGTTTTTTTTTTCTACAGCAATTTGGGCCGTCTACATCTTCCTGCGGATATAGAGTTGTGAACTATTATATTTTTCCCCACGCACTTGAGGCTACCGTGTCTATTAATTCAGAGGGTCATTCAGATTTGTACTAAGGTCATGTTCGTGTCCGTACCCAAAAATACTTGCGGCAGGGGTCGCACAGTAGTTTACGTGCCGCATAAAACGCATGCTGAGTGAATATCAGCTGCTGATCCCAAGGGTCTGTAAAAGCGTCGAACCGCAAAGAGTTTTACACCAGCACAGCGAGAGTCACTGGAGGCGCGAGAAAACAAACCTCGATCGTTCAGACCTGAGGACCAGTACTGTTTGTTGCCCTAGGCTCCTGCGGGAACCCTGCTACCAATGCGCTTGGCGTTTTCAGAGGACACGCCCGGGTGCGAGAGATGAGTCACTTGATGCTTATCTTGCTTTCTCTTCGCACTCCGCGCATTGTGCTGTGCGGCATGACAGACCTCATGCGGCGCGTCCCGCATCAATGATTCCATGGTAGTGTGTGGGACGTTGCCATTGCTTCTGTTCACGCGCGCGCACCGGGGCCAAGTCGACGATCGCGGTGCGAAACTACCCCTGTTGGTCCCAGTGCGGGAAGAAGGTGGGTGTACACGAGTTTCAGGCCAACATGTGAAATTGCGGGTATTTCTGACGAAAATTGGGCATGTGATCCTCTACTTGCATTCTTTTTAGTCTAGACTTGAGAGAGGACGGTCACCGTAAATATTTTACTCGGAATCTGCCGCTAGCGGCTGAATTATTTTCTCCTACCGAAGACGAAGTGCTTCACATGCAGGGCAACAGCCGGTGCCGGAGCAAACTGCTCGAACAGAGACGGGAACAGTTTCCAACTCCGTGAAATATATATGAAAAAGTGACGTCTGATCAGAGGGATACTGTAGTTGAGACTGTGACACCATGTGGTCCCGGTTTATTCTTTGGTGAATCATGTATTGTCCCCGTCAATTAGCGCTAGCTAGGAGTTTCGATTTGAATATGTCTGGGTATGGCTCATGTTTTGTATGTTTTCACTAGCTAACCTCTTTCGACAAGTGGTGTTGCTGTGTGCAACAACAACGCCAGCATCTCGGATCTCAATCGCAAATTCAGATAACACTGTTGAGTGAAAAATTCGAATACATTAAATTCGAACTCAAAATCGCATTGAGTTCACATGTGTATATGTTATACAATATGAAACTTCGATGTTGCGTACACCAATGGGTGGTACACTGCTATGCTACACGCAAAGGATTCCTGGGCACGGAGATCAACATGGCCTGAGTGCAAAATAGACCGACCCTCTGATACAATTCATAGTAGCATCAGTTCCATGGCGAGAGAACTGAACATTTTCGCAAATTGAATCCACTAGGAGCATGGAGACGTCCCAAAGGCGGTGGGATCATACACACGCGGTTCTGCAGACCGTGACCCATCTCCTGCTGTTCTAGCATTTGGTTTTGTAGCGAGAGGTTCAGCGGTCCCTGGCCCTCTCGTCGAGAGTGGAGTCGAAGTATGCTATTCAAGGAATGAATTTCATCGTTTTCCTTTCATTCCCGCAAGAGCGTATCAAACTCACACCCTGCTCTTCACTGCATAGATTCATTTTCGATACCACCGGGGCGACGTGGTAGGCACGGGATTAGTCGGACCGTGGTGACTCAACTGCACCCGCCAACAAGGGGACCTTCGGTACGTTTCGATGGACCAGCCCGGGACACCATGGGAACTGCCACATTTTCGCATTCCTTCCACGTACAGCGCTTGCCTTTGAATCTGCTTCAAGAACCCCAGCCGTCTTTTCCGTGTCGACCGTGACAATGCAGATTCACTTTTCGACGCTGTCATGGCATATGAAACTGGAGGTTGAGTCCACTACCCACACGACGGCATGAGGTGGAACTAGCGGCCAAGGCAACCACAGCAGCACACGGAGGGGTGAAAGAAGTGGTACAATTCTACAGTGTATGGAATTCCTATGAAACATTGACTGATCAGCCTGCAATCAGGGCGCGCGTAACTGTGGTGAGTGAATTTCGGTGATCTGCTTCGTTTACGAACACGAAATATATTTATAGATCCGCTCCTCGACGGGATCCTTTAAAGAGGGCGGCGTAATATGCCTACAGGAAATAGGGGTGCGTTGTCCATGGATGACCAGAGAGAGTCTGAGGACCAATGAGAAATGGAAACATGTACAGATACGAAACCAGCGGAACTGAAACATAATACAAGAGAATTCAGGTGAAAGAAACTGGGGTCTACACAACCCTCCCCAATTGATATAAAACCAGCGGACCGGAACTGATACACAATACAAGACAATCAGGTGAAAGAAACTGGGGTCTACGCAACCCCCCCCAACGGGTAATGACTGCTGTAGGTCATTCGACGGACGTTTTCACGCCGCCTCAGAAAATTCACTCTAATGCTCCTCAAGTTTCTTTGGCCCAGAACAACGCAAAATGGCAGTGTATTTTTCCGCCGCTAGGCACGCCGTCGTTGAGAAAAAAGGAAAAAAAAACTTGCTCCGGAAAATAAATGGACATTTCTCGTCGCCAGAAACACCCTTATCTAACGTTTGTCAAAGGCATGGTTGTATAACAAAATGCCCGGCTTGTATAGTACAACAAGCGCAAAAGAAAGGTTCACAAATTTGAACATACTACATGAGCGTTGGTTTGCCCTCAACAAAAAAAGCTTGCACTCGGATCATTCGCACTCATTCGGGCACCCACCAAAGGACGCTGGTCCCTTATGCAAACGAATCGCTTAGACAACCACTGCTGCACGAAACTCGACACCCCACATCAGAAACCGATATCCGCGCGCGTTTTCCTAACGTGTACCCGACGAAAAACGAACAAGCGGAAGCGACTAGCGACACCCAGCGAAAGGTACCCCCGATATCTGGACAGCACCCAAAAGTTCTGTGGACGGACATCTCTATCTCGGGGAGCTATTACTACAGCTGGTTTCTTCACGGCGTCGACAGAAACCAAATATGACAACATCCAACCTTGGGTAACCCTGCGTTGCAATCTCAAAATATCCTAGCAGGTTTGCTCGTCGCCACATGTGTCACTTTCAACAAGACCAACCACGGCAACCTGCCAATTCAAACTTATTCGGGCAACTCCATACAGGGGGGGAGGTAAAAAATGAGACGCGAAACGTGACCTAGCGATACCAGCTGCGAGCTTCATAAAGGCAGCACAGCCTTGATGGTTGGTTGCGCGTCTCAGCCCGACGGATTCCCCGCTTTGGGCAAGACACCCAACTGAAGGCTAAAGGCTCCCGTAAGCAGGGGGGGCGCCCTCGTGGCGAAGGAAGGGTACCGCTTGCTGCAGCATCACCTGGCCAGTATTTGATCTCACGCGGACATGAAGCTCGATCCCGCTGGCGTCGACGTGAGCGGCGGGGGCAGGAGGTGTGTGGGGCAGAACATGTATTAAAAAAAACGTACAAGTAGTAATATGACCAGCGCATATTACACATCACCACCGATTGTACATCAGGCTACTGCACCAACGTGGTGGTACGCGGCCCAACTTAGGCGGAAGCCACGCCGTAGTTTTGGGACCTGCCCGTAGAGACCTGAAAGTGTTGGATCTGTCTAGAGATCGCTCCACCAAAAGGCAGAGAAATATTGACACACGAACATGGTGAAGCGGTAAATTTAGTCCGTGGGGTAGCATCCGTTTCGTGAATACATCCTCCTACGAGGGAGTACTGGAAACCTTCACCTGGTTTGCGGTGCGTTCCTGATTGGTCCGACCTCCGCCATACACCCGGCAGACATAGATGCCTCTCGGATGACAGAACTTCGCCCAACTCTACCCTGAGAACGCTGATCAATGTACTGCTGTGGAATGCTCGGGTCACAGTACTTGCTTGACGGTCGTTCGCAAGCCATATATATTGACAAAAAAAATGATCACGAGGGCAAGCACAGTCGCGTCTCACATCAAGGAAAACTCCACGGTGATCTCGATCTTGTTTAGCTCTGTCCGAGCTTTGGGTTTCATCATGCCACAGCAACCGACCTCTGCTACTGGAGGCGGTGGCGGCACCTGCATGGGATCATGGCATTTCGCACGCGGCAGGAAAACATATGCCGGAGCGCAGCGGTCGTTGGTCAAAATCATTCGAGAGCAAGCGCCTACTCGAGACTGCAAACGGGCGAGAAACATTCGCCTCCGTACCGCGAATCGACAGTCCAACGCCGACGCATGAGCTCCGTGGCAGGTGGGCAGGGCCAAAATAGGACAGCGCATCACAGCGGTAGTGGTCCGCGGCGGACATGAGAACTAGACGTTCGTCACGAGACCCTGTCCTTGCTACAATAGTGAACGCACCGAGAACTCCTGGCTCTGCAGCGACTTCAGGCCGCCGATGTCCGTCAACCGGTTGCAGCCCGGATGTACGTGTGGGCTAGCGCAAGAGCTGACCGACAACGTGAACGGGATGTCGCTCTGGATTGTGTAGTTCTTCGTCACCTGAGGCCCGTACGTGCAGACAGACGTGACTGACTTGGTCAAAAGTCAAAAGAGGGGTGGGTGGGGCGCAGCATGTGCTAGGAAGCAAGCTATTTACCACCTGTTTGATAAACTTGGCCTCTGCTAGGTTCTAGAGCAACGTAAAGCGGGGCGTAGACTAGCGCAACATATTGGCACCGGGGCAAAGAAAGCTTCTGCTCACCATGTGGTTCATCTCGTAGCCTTGGCCCTTGAGGAAGAAGGGGTCGAAGAATGCGGGTACGACCCCCCCCCCGGTCTGAAAAAAAACAAAAAAAGCAATTGCACGCATGACAGCGAACACAGCAGAGCACGGGCCCATAAAAATATATATATATTATGCAAAAAAAAAAAAAAAAGCGTGAGCACGCACGTTCAAGCGGTCCAACTGGCACGGAAATATTCGCGAAGCCGCCCTAGAACGGGGTTGCCTTGATAAAAGACGGTGGCAATCGAGGGTGTGATGGCGCGGGAAAAGGAAGCAAAGGCCTCGAGTTGACGCACACGTGTACAGCTCGTCCCGAGAGGAGGCGCGCAACAGCAGTGAAATCACCACCACCCCCTCCCTCCTCCCTCCCCTGGCAAAAACATGCCCGCATCAATCGCCGGTAGCCGGTACCGCCCGAATAGTCCGCGGTCTCTTTCATTCCTTCCTTCGAACACCGCCGCCATGCTACAACTCACTCTGGACCCCGCCCTTGAGGGAAACCAATGTCTGCACCTACCGGAAAGATAAATAGCCTCATTACGTACGGAAACTCAAAGTTTTTGTGTTAGGTTTTTGTGTGGTTTTTGTGTGTCCATCGATCCGAAGAACAAACCGGTCCCGCATCCCTCCCTCCCTCTACCTACCTCAGAGACCACGATCCCGTACGAGTTCGCCGAGGTCACCGCGGCGAACCGGGGCGCGGCCGGGAGCTGCTGCCCCCCGGGGCCGACGGCGCCGGAGGCGGGGGGAGCCGAAACGAAGTGGGCCGCGCCTTCAACAATCGCCAGGTCCGGAGACTTAGGAATCGAAACCTCGACGCTTCCGTCGGGGTACTTTCGAGCCACGCACGCCCTGACGGCCTCCTGCTCGTCAAAAAAAATATATATATATATTGCAATCCGCCGCCGCGGATGGTCGGGCCGTGGAGGTTATGGTGCGGTGTGAGAGGGCACAAGAGACTGACTCGCAAGGTCGGTGCGGGACTACAGACACAGCAGTTGCGCAGGCAGAGGAGCCTATACCCCTGAGTTAACTGTCTTCCAAGAACAGGGAAGCACTTCGCGGGCTGTGTCGAAGCGGGGAAAGCGAGACCATCGGGGCCGCAGTGTCGTGAAAAGACACGTGTATCGTGTCACCATCCGGGCTACGGATGGATGACCGGAGGCATCACCTGGACGTGCATGCTGCCCGAAAACCCGCCCACCATGACCACGGCCGAGAGGCCCTGCAGGTGTGGCCTCTCGAGCTGCTCTGACACGGCCCCAGAGATACTGCGGACATGTGTTAAGGGGGGTGATTAGGGTTAGGTTTAATCGTTGGGGTCGAAAACAGGGGCAACAAGCAGAACAGCACAACGCGTATTTTCACTCGACGCGAGTGTCTGGGTCCGGCGGCACAACAAGAGGTATGCAAACGCTCACGACCCTTGTCGCAACCTGCGTGACGTCACGTGCACGGAGTCCCGCACCCTCGGGATTCAAAAATACAAACGTAAGCCAACCAACGATTCGATCCCTCACTTCTTGCATTGCTCCTTGAAGAACTTGCGGAGCAAGGCTGGTCGCAAGACGAGGTCAAACGTCCCATGGCCGCCGACGAACTCCTGCGCGGCGTTTTTTCGGCGGACAGAGACCACAAACGCGACAGGGGCATGTGAATGCGGTGCATGGGCGCGGTATCTCCTCCCCCCCCAAGGCTTGGTTTCCTCTCAGACACGGAACATCCCATGGGATTGCACCGCTGCATTTATCACGAGGTACTGCTCCATGAGACCCGTACCAAAACAAAGCTTGGCGAAATGTTGCATACTGCCGCACCAGTTCCACGACGATCGTTTCAGCATAGCCAAACAATCTCAAGCCTCACGATCCAGCATAGCCAAACAATCTTAAGCCTCATGATTTTGGTACAGCCAAACAAACGTTACGCCGCATGATCTCAGTACAGCCAAACAATCTTGCGCCTCGTGAGTAAGCCTTGCCCCCCTCACCGTGCCCCCTCTGTTCTTGAGTCTCCGGCCTTCGTCCATTTCTTCCGTCGTCACCTCCAACGGCTCACGGCTCAGCTCGCTCAGGTCGATCCGGCAGTCGTGGTCAACGCTTCGCAAGCCGATCTTCGCTCTTTCCCAAGCCTGCCGTCAGTTGTTTCCAGTGTGAATGGATGGACCGCAGTAGCAAACAAATGTGTGTGGGGGTACTCATAGCCGTGCATGCTATATTTAGTCGTTAGACCACTCACCTCGGGGGGGGGTACTTATAGTCGTGCATGCCGTAGTCGTTAGACCATTGACCTCGCATCCCTACGAAGCCGGGACGGAGCACGTCGGGTTCTCACCGGACCAGGCTCTCACATCACCAAGCGCCGAGCGCCGTGAGGTATTCGGCGAGTCGCATGAAGGGTGCGCTGCATCCTGCTAAGGGTGTTCGGCATCTTGTGCTTACTTGCGTACGGATGACAGCTGCGTATGACTTAATTCATTTTCTGGTGCTTTCACTTCCAGAGACAGTTGGAAGCGCTGTGTACCTGCCTCGAGGGTGCTTGACCAATTTAACACAACGTGCGATTATCCCCTTTGCGCGGAGTGAGGGTTCTCGACCCCGCACAACATAATATCTACCCGACCACCATTCATGGTTACCGCAAAAAAAAAAACAAAGGCAAAAACAAAAACGGTAACCTGGTTGCCGAGCTCACGAAGTGAATTGGCTTGTTTTACAACATCGTTGCCAAGCGACCAAAACCCAACCCCGATGGCAAACACCGGGGGGGGGGGGGGGTTGATTTAGTGCGTAGACCACTGCGCTATCCTTGTCCAAGAATGTACAAGGAAAATTGCAAGAAACCCTGCTCGTTACTAATTCAAGCGCACATTCATCGCACCTGGTTAATCCGGTACGAGGCCGAGCTGGCGAAGAAGCTTTCCAGGCTCCTCTCCCCGGCTTCTTGAGCAACGGATAGCACGAAATCCTAATCGTAGGGGGACACACGCGGTGGCGGCGAGTTGACGGAAATTGTGCGCTGGTTACATGGGGAACAGCAGAAATCAAGGCAGCTACATACATAGATGCTGTTGTGGGCTTGCAACTCGATCAACCGACCGAACCGGGGAATTCCAGCAGCAGTTACTCGCTCGCTAGGCGGAATTTGTTTGTTTCGCTGCGTAACGCCCCCGCTGCAGAGCATGGCCTGCCTATACCAAGTCACACACAGAGCAGGGGCCAGCCTCCAGAGCTCAAAACGATACATACGCTGCATGTCTTTAGGTCGGGCGTGTTCAATGTTTGTTGGGTACCTTTTTTCTCACGTTTCGGGGGACACAGCACAGCCAAGCCAACTCGCCTTCAGGTAAGCCTCGAACAGCCTGTCCACGTTCGTGGACCCCCACGGCCCGCCGCTCGCCTCTCCGAGCTGCTCGAGGCTCGGCGGTGCGCTGCTGATCACCTCGAACGCGGAAATGTCCACCGTGCCGCCGCCGCAGTCGATAACCTGGTGACAGAGTGATGATCACCGTCGCCGTCGCCGCAACAGGCACAGTACAAGTAGTAGTTCTAGTAGTGAGTGGAGGGCTATTCTTGCGCGCGTGCAAGCCTCGCAACTGATCGAACTGGACCGGTGGCTCCACAAGCAGACAACAAATTTGTCCAGGAGGGTAATCGGTAAAATTAGACCATCCGACTAGTCAACGTTGACTAGTCGGATGGTCTTAACTTTACCGATTAAAAGATATGCTCAGAGCTCGTTAGCACCCGGCCGGATCACATGGGCTTTTTGCGGCTTTGTGGCTTAATCACTGGGATTGAGAGTAGGGATCTCCGGGGCGTACCCCTCGCCAGACGTCGCTGTTTGGTAAACAAATGGTGATTCTGTTGTAAGTGGACCACTGGGGTTCGAACCCGTGCGTCCATTAGACCAGACGTCGCTGTTTGGTAAACAAATGGTGATTCTTTTGTAAGTTGACTTAGTGGTCTAATGGTCAAAGCGTTCTTACACAAGGTTCCACGCCCCGGAGATCCCTACTCTCAATCCCAGTGATTAAGCCGCAAAGCCGCAAAGCCCATGTGATCCGGCCGGGTGCTAAGGGTGCTAACGAGCTCTGAGCATATCTTTTAATCGGTAAAATTAGACCATCCGACTAGTCAACGTTGGTTGACTAGTGGTGACTAGTCGGATGGTCTAATTTTACCGATTAGAGGGGGCCACTCTCATTTTTCTTTTTTTTAGCTTGCTGCGGTGACAGCCACCGCCTCGAGGAATACACGGGTTTGTTTTGGTTTGTCCGCGGGCTCGACGGTCCAACGGCGGACTACGCCGTGCTTTTTGGGCCTTCGATCTCTTCGGCCGAGTATGCAGGTGGCATGTCAACATAACCCCGCGAGATAAGCAATACACCGCCCTCTCAGCAGAAAGAACGGGGCTCGAGGGACGGGCGCGGGTCTGATCGATTCCATATCTACAAAATCGACAAGACTGTATCAAGACAAAAGAACCCACAAACAAGCTGTCGTGCGCCAGAGAAGACAAAATACACGGCAGCCTTTGCATTTTCGCGTGAACTGCTCGTCTCTGCGCGTGAATACTACGGACAGACAGACTCACCAGGTACTTGTCCCTCATCCTCCATTGCAGCCTGTTTCCAAGGGCTAGGCAGGCGGCGATTGGCTCCATGCACAGAACGAGGCCCTTGGGGGGGAGGCAACACGAACAACAGTATTACCGGACGGGGAGCACACGACCGGTTGCGTGTGTGTGTGTCAATTACTAGTATCGACCGCGCAAACTGGTTGACCAATGAAAAGACGTCAGTCTGTGTGTGTGAATGTGTGCGTATGTGTGTGTGCCAATTGTCTCGCACCAGGGATCGCATATCAACAGCAAACACCTGCTTTGGATCAACCTCTGCTGGTTTGCCCTAACCTTACAAATAATTGACCATCCCTCCTGGCAAACGTCCAGCAACCGTGGTTCATGTTCTTAGCTCCGAAAATGGTGCTGGCATTCGCTTGGGTATCATAGGTACACCTGTCAAACCCACCTGTTTTCATCATGAGCAAGCGTCAAAACAGGGCCGCATCTTTCGCCATCAGCCTAATGCCTGTGACCCGAGATGACACAAAAGAGCGTTCCGCGCCGGGCGTGCGGCGGAGCAAAGCCCTACCATAAATACATGGTCACCTCGTCGTCGTTTCCGCCCTTGATGAAGCCGGCCTTCGTCGCGGCCTCCCTCATGAAGTGCTTGGCCGGCTCGCTGCAGCAGACGGGCACGGTCAACACCCACGTCACGTCCTCGGCGGAGACCGCGTGGGTCAGTGTCATGCCCATGAGGGCAACCTGGCGGCGGCCGGGGGTGGCATCGACGCGCGGGACACGGGGGTATTGACGACAAGATTCAGAGCAGCTGCCAAAGCAGAACGAGAGGGCCAGTCGGAAGGAGGAGCGTGCACATCTGCGCCTCCCCATGGGCAAAGCCATAACGCGGAATACTCGGAACGCGCCAGAGTGGCCTGTGCTCAAAGAGGGGGAGGGCGTAACAGGGGAGGGCGGGGGGGAAGGCAAAGACGACAGAGACCAACCAGCGACCTCGGCACACACAAGTCGTCTTTACAGCACCATGTATACATGTATGCGTCTCACACTCTTGATGTACTCCAAAGCGATGACGAATATGTCCATCAGCATCATCTCTGCCTTCCTGCTCGTGCTCTTCGTGACGGCGTCGACCAGGTCGTCGTAGATCTGCTGGGAGGGCTTGTTGTGTAATTGCTACAGAGGCACGTGTTGTCGGCATTGGAGGGAGAAGGAAGAGGTTTACTCGGGGGGGCGGAACGCTCGGCGGTCGTCAAACGCATTGGAATGGCAAAAAACATCAACGTTATCGAGGAGAGTATGGGATGGTTCAAGCCCTACCAAGTATGAGATTGTGTCAGGCGAAGGACTTATAAGTACGGGAGAAGTGTAAATACACCGCCCGTGGGAGGTGATGCAAGTGATGCCGCTCATCCCACACTGCAATACCTGAGGAGAAAGAACTGACGACGTGAAAATTCTGTTCTGGTGGATACGTACCAAAATTTAAGTTTCTTGTGTACAATTTGTATCGAAAGCGGCGATTTGACAACAATTGTGGCTCGGCTCTCGAATGGTTCACTACTGCCATGTAGGCATACCAGGGATCAGACTACGTACGAAAATCCATACTTGTGTTTAGTGCCGTTCTCTACGATGCCTGCGAGTGTATGTAGTCGAACCCACGTTCCTTATTGGTCAGTTTCCCCCGAAGTGCCAACCACGTATACCCGCACTACCTGGGACCTCAACACCTCAAAAGGGGCCGGTTTCGGCACAATTCCAACCGCACTGCTGCGCCTGAGCATAATTACGCAGCAGCAGTGCCGTTACATCTTCTCCCGCGATACCAATACGCATGACTGCGACTTCTGACGCCAAACCGTTCGTGTCTAATGCCACCATCTCCAGTAGTCTGGGCGGCTATGTACAGATCCGTCCGGCATGCGAAAGGCCTACAGCAGTAGACTACTGTCTGCAGCAGCACAGCAGTGTGTACCACGGCGGGACGGGTCGAACACCGGGGAGGATCACGATTGCGACACATGGACGTTTCGTTCAGCAGTCCCAGATGAGACCTGCAGTTAATAAAAATTCTGGTAAGAAAAAATGGCTCAAATTCTTACGGAAAAAAATAAGAAAAAAGGGCTATAGACTAATAAGATACACACAACCACACAACTAAATCTATGAACGGATTTCTTACAATATTGGGCGACTCTTCGACTGCTCCTTCTGCGAAACAGGAAAATCGAGGCTCCACCCGATTTTGACGTTTCACATCTGCATATTTTCGGGTCCTTGTATATATATACAGCAGACTCGAAAATTAGAAAATTAGTATCTTGCGTGGCTGCAGTTCTTTCGGGTGTACCAAGGTGCAGCAGTTTGTACATATTCAGGAACTACAGCAGTAGACTCGCATTCGCTTTTCCACCGAAGCGCAAATCCTAAATTGCTGGTTATCTCTCCGAGAGTGAGCAACAGGATTAACCAAACTCAAGACCTGCTACAGTACTTCAATTTGTCCCGCGAGAAAGAGTTGACAAAAATCTCTGCGTGCTGCGTGCGTCTGGCAGAATCGTAAAAATTGATTTTGTTCACTCCGCAGAGAGAATCGAACCTATGAATCTATGCATAATTTACAGCAGTACAAACTTGCCGCAACATACAGACGGTTTACGTAGGTTTACGAGGTTCGCCCACTACAGCAGTAGTAGTCTACAGAGCAAATGGCACACCCGATGGTTTGAACCAGGGGTGCCCGAAGGCAAGGGGGGCACGCGGGGCGTTATCGATCAAAATTGGTGACTGATGGTAATGATCGGCGATGCTCTATCAAGGCATAGTCGAGATGTCGCGAGCCGTGGGGGCCATAGGTGGGGATCGGCTTTCGAGACACGGTCGGGCAAGGATGGGGGATTCGGAACAAGAGGAGGGTCGGTCCGCGACAAAGCTGAATTAGGTCGGAGATAGATACGTAGAGAGTCCATGTATGTATGGAATTGATTTTGTTCACGCCGGAGAGAGAATCGACTTTTCAGCTTTTCAGCAGTAGCAGCATACAACCTTGCCGGTACAGCAGTAGCGCAGCCGTATTAGTTGTATGTTCACGAGGTTGCCTACAGCAGTAGAAGTCTACAGAGTAAATGGCACACCCGATGGTTTCAACCAGGGGTGACCGGAGGAGGAGAGGGGGTGGGGGGAGCAGGCTACACACCAAAAACAAGGCCACCAGTCGCACACTAGCTATCGCACACACGCAGCAGGCCACACGCACCGGCCATCCGGGCAGAACAAATGCGGCTCTCTCCCCTCTCTCTTTCTCTCTCTCTCACCATTTTGAACCGCTTGAACAGTTGCGCCCCGTGAGGGATGTCGCCGTTGGCGTAGCGGTGCTGCGCTTCTCGGCCGTACGCCTCGGCGCCGGTGGGCCTGAACATCTTGTCGGACCCCGTGCTGCCCGCGATGAGGAGCGTGGTCGGGCTCTTCCCGATGATGTCCTCGTTTGGCTTCATGTCGGGCACTCCGATCGAAGGCCCCGCTGGGTCCACAATGGACTTCCAGCTGAAGGCGGTACATGACGTCCCGAGGTCGATCGCCACGACGAAGTCTTTTTCCCCCCGGGCGAGGTTGAGGGGGCGGCATGTTTTTGCGCGGAAAGAACAGGCAGGGTAAGGTCGAGGGCGTCAGAACTGCTGCTGCCGCTGCTGCCGCCGCTGCTGCTGCTGCTGCGTGAAACGAGACGCGTGTGTATTGCATCATCATCAGCAGAACACGGACTGCGTGTCTTCCGCTGCGGGGACTTCCTTGTTCAGGTCGCACGAACTCATGCAAGACGTATCCCCGCGCAAGCACGTCGGCGCTCACCTTTCATGTTGGAACTGTGCGGTAAGAACGGCGGCTTCGCGCTAGCTGGGCAAGTACCAACGATGCACTGGGGCGTGGAACCTGGCGGCCTCTGCTCTCCGATGACGAGGGAAGAAGTCGTCGGTAGAATTCCTTCGTGGCGGCAGAGATGCGGGCAGCTTGCGGCTCATGAGAGACCAGAAAAAAAAAATCAGAATCTTTGAGGAAATTTCGCTGGACCCTCTTTTTTCTGCTGTGGTGCGAACCCAAGAACCCCCACTACTGCCTGCCGCCTCATCGACCAGCCGACACCACCCCGCCGGGAGATTTAGTTGGGTCGCGAAGTCCGAACAGCACCACCTAGCGGGCGCTAAAAAGATGATGGTGAGTCCGCGTGTTCGCCGCGCCGGTGGTGTCTGGTTCTGTCACACGACATGTATGTGTGTGTTGCATGAGGAACCAAAAAAATGGAAGGCGGGAAGAAAAAATCTGTGACTTCTGGTTTGATGTGTGCAGCCGCAAGAAGTGGTCCGTTGTCCCACAGGGTGTTTCTGTCTGCCTCCCCCTCTGCCTGTCTCCACCTCTGTCTTGAGCCCTCGGTATTTGGAAATGGTGGCTCTACCCACATACCCAGGTGTTGCATTCCTTACGGAGGGTGCAGACGGTGGAGGCGGCATGCCGATTATAACACAGCGGCAGCACGCTCCTTCAGCTGTCGCGCCCTTGGTGATTGATGTCTTCCCTGCCCACACGAGGCTGTTCGTTCCAAATTTGCACACTACAGCAGTACAGTAGTTCGGACGTCAACTGAGTTGTGTCGGCAACCGTAAGCAGACGCAGCAGATGGTTGGGACTGCCGCAAGGCTGGTGATGATGGTCACCGAGTGTACAGCAGGAACGGGATGTACATTCGTACCGCACGACGCTGCTGGTACAGGTATGCAGTCTATGCGGAGACTACTTTACATGCGAGAAATTTGACCAATGGGTACAGCAGCACAGCACACCATCCACAAAAAGGTTCAAATCATGGTTTCGGTGCCGGGCGAAGCTCTTCGTGCCGGCTGGGCATCACTTCAGCGCCTCAGACCCACGCGGTGTCCACCGACGCGATGATGAGAACAGCAGTGGCAACGGGCTAGCATTCTGATGGGAAATCCGCACACCTTTGATTCTGCTCTCTCTTGCTTCTCCGCCGGTCTAAGTTTCTTACGTAAACAGCAGCATGTGTCTGCTAGCCTACCACATGCTACACGTTGCATCTGAATCGGGATGTGGCTACCGTTTACAAGACATACCCTCCCCGGCTGATTCGTCAACCCTATTTAGCGAAAGGTGCCTACTAGACTGGCGCCAGAATAGATGCGACAAACATAAACAGAGAAGAACTGCCAACGAATTGCTGTCAGCATGATGATGAGAATGATGGTAGCAGTGCAAGCATGGAGGATGATATTCAAAGCACTCCGAAACGAACTCCCAAGGGGGTGCAAAGTATTTGGCAGCCTTCGTAGACGCGGGCAGTTTTCTTCTGTTTCTGCCGTTTCTGTCTTTGTTCCGGAGAATAGATTAATCTCCCCCATGCCGCCCCCTCACGTGGTCCCAGTTAATGACATTTGAAGGTGCGTTGTGTTTTCAACCGCACTTATATTTAGACTGACGTCTTTTCATTGGCCAGCCGGTTAGCGCGGTCGATGCTCATAAAGATAAGATAATTAGCTGTCGCTGCAACGAGCGACAGCTGATCGATTTAATCGCCAGACGTGTCATCCACGGTCGGAAATGCGTGTAACTGAGAGACGTATTCCTACGTATCGACCCCCCAAATAATCCAATCATAGAGAGGTGGCGGCGCTGAGGGTCAGTAATATATAGAAGTACATGACCAATCCGAAAGAATTAGCGCGTCGGGGGCATGGCTCTACTGCTGCGTGGTGCCATGGGTTTGTGGGGCTGTGTCCAACCCAAAACCCAAAACAGCAAAACAGGCCATCTCACCGCATTTTTTCAAACGGCAGTTTGGCGAGGTGGTACACATCTCTCACACACCTTCTAGAGCAGCACCCAAGCCCCTAATACCGACGAAGCAGCAGGGCGCCGGGAGTGAGGATCATATAGACAGCCGAACAAACGGAATCAGCGCGTTGGAGGCCTTGGGGCTGCTGCTGTCCTCAATCTACTGTTTCCGTGTTTGTCATGTGTGGTACGAAAAATCCCCGCGCGTCAATAGCAGCAGCAGTCGAAGACGAGGGGACCATGCCATGTCTCGGTTTGGACAAACAACGACCTGAACGCGGCTTTTACCGCTGTTCTGTCCGCTGTGCATGTGTCGCTGTGCCCGCTGGGCGTGTGTTGTCTGCTTTGCGTGTGTGCCTGTGCGCGTGTTCTGCAGCTGCAATCTGCTGTGTGCTACGAAAAAAATATGTGCTGACCCCCTGTATAGTCAATTGATGTACTCTAAAACCTAGATAAAGCGCGTACAGACACGCAAGATTTTTGTTTTGCAGCGAATCCTTGCAACTCGGGGGGGCGGCAGTCCAGATTAGAAATCTCGCTTCGCTCGAATAAAAACATAGACATACACAGCAATTCAGTAATGGGGGTCATCTGATTGGGCAAGATATCATCGATCTCCGCAGCGGTACATATCGGGGTTCTACCTAAAGTCAGGAACCAAAATATCTTAATTAACGATAGCTTCTGCATAGTCTATGTATGTAATACTCCACAAGGCGCGAAAAAAACTCCTGTGTGGCCTTCCTCGTGTGTAACCCTGGCCTGTGAGCGTCCGGAAAGTGTCCCGAAAGGTATAACGGGGGTGGGGGGTGGGGGTACTCTTGTGTTTTGCATGATGCCTTAGCGGTTTGACCATTGACCGCGCGTCCCCGAGCGGACAGAGCGTTGTTCCCAAAGGACCGATCACCGATGATGGCCAATCGTTCCTTCCTACTTTGCCAAAGGTGGCTCAATAATCTTTTACCTGGCCTACGTATCTATCCTTTCGATGTCACTTCCCGCCTTTTCAACCCACTTTTTCTACCCAGGTACAGCCACGTCTTCTCCTCTGGCTATTCCATGCCTCAAACGTCTCCCTGTATCTTACTTCTACTTTCTCAGCTCAGTCATGTACATGTCAAATTTGTAATCCTTGAACTCTATTTCTTCTTTCATCATTCCGTACACATCTAGACCCTCCTTATCCTTGGTTTCTTTGGGTAGATTCTGCCCTGTTCTTTCGGCGTCTTCGGGTGGCGTGTTTTGGGGTTGAGTCGCAAGAGGCTTTTTTCCCGAGGGTTGTGTATCACCACGGGGCGTTCTTCCTTCCTTTTTTTTCTTTTCCCTTCTTCCTTGAATTGGCGTGAGGAGCACGGTGACTTGTGTGCATCCCTCCTCCTGGCTAGCTCTTGTACACGAACGATATGCCATATGCACAGCAGTCTGCCAACACGATGGGTGCACAGAGAGCGAGAGAGAGCGAGTGCGACCGTCAGCTATCAATGGCCAACAACAAATGCCCTTACCAACCACCAGAGAAGAACAGATGGAGGAGATCTTCTGTGGCTCTGCAATTCACTTCCGCTAGCCAACTTTGGTCTACCTGCGCAACGCATGCAAGGCGCAGCCACCCCAAGCACCCCGCACAAGACAGGCCAAACGCAGGATAGCGGACGAGCTTGGTTGACAAGGGGTCTCACGACTCTAACTAAGGACATGTTTTCCGCCCTCCGCGCTTCTCACGTCCCTGATGTTGACAGATCCCGCGGACCCGTTGGTCGGTGTTGGCCGTGTTCGCCGTGTTCGTCAAGACGGCGGTGGCAGCAGGTGTGCGATTTGCCGTGATGCTAGGAGCTTCGATAGCATGATGGCGATCAATTTACCTTTGAAACGGCCACAGCACATCGTCGGCGATGAGAGGGCTTTTGAGCCGCGGCTTCTGCGCCGGCAATGAGTTGCTGGACACTTTTGTTTTCTGTCTCTTCTTCGGAGGAAGCACTCGGAATGTTTCATGCTTGTCGTACAACTGAAAACCGACTCAGGAAGTAGGCCCTGTCGCCCGCCACCAAAGCGGAAACGCGGCGATATGACTTAACCCTAGAAGACGTTATTCGATGTATTGTAGAGCAATGCATCCACAAGCAACTCCGAGCCTGCTCTGACTTGGAGGCTGATGAACCTAAAGCAAAGCATGCTGTATGCGTAGGAACACCGGTTCAAATTTGCGGAATCCGAGAACCTGTTTTGTTGTCGTGTCCTCGTGCGTGCCCCCGAACCATTGCGATTGAAGACTGCTCGGCAAGACCGCTGCAAGAAAGCCGTCATAGCACTCTATCGTAGTTTAGACAAATGCTGCCCTGCAACGCGGGGAGCACTTGGCTAGAGCGAAGCAGTGGACTCGATAACGTGGTGCCTGCCACATGTCCGAGTAGCTGAGCACATTCGTGCCCAGCCGTACGGTTGCAGGGCGGGCACCGGCGCTGAAAAGAGGTATATTTGTCCTTCCACCGCTCGAAGTAGTGGGGCACACGTATCATACTAGATGTCAAGTCCCGGCGCACGAAATGCGCACGAAATTGCTGAACAAGTCTTCTGTTGTTTTGGCCACGCCTTTTCTCCTAGGGGTAGACACACCTGGCTGTATGAGGACTACATCTCGTCCTCGTGTCCAACACGTAGTCACCAGTGTTTCGTGATACACCCTGCTTCTCGACGGATCATTCGTAAAACTTGAGAAAAACAATTTTGGCTTGCCGTTGTGTTTGACTCGTTGTGGAGTCTAGTGTGCTGTTATCGTCAAAAGCTGTGTGTTGTTTGTCTGCGCTGACCTCTCGTTTTCTAGCTGTTTCCTTTGGCACGGTTCCTTGGTCGTGGGCAGACGTTTCGCGTCTCTTCCCGACGTGTCTTTTTCGAGGGGACGGGCACATGCCTCGTGTCATAGACAAGATACATTCTTCGCGGCAGGGGATGTTCCCTTACCAATGTGTCTTGCAGTGTCTCGTTCCACCCATCTTGTGTCTTCTGGAGTCTCTGGGTTGTGGCGGCGATCGACGGCGCGTTTTGACCATAGGTCTGCATTTGGAACGATTGCTCGGACACGGAAGCGCTATCGTTTTCGTCAATGTGGAAAATCCCTCCGTGGCCTGTGGCCGACCCGCAGACCCGCAGAAACGACGGAAGCGACCAAAGCAGGGCGCAATCCATTTTCTGCGTGAAAAAGGTTTTGCGGTTGGGCGCGATCGCATGCATTTTCCCGCTCAAGAATGACGTAGGTAGTGTTCAGACCAGCATCGACGACACGCTTGCTACCTTGTGCGGACCAGGGTGCGAGAATTTTGAAGGGACTGCTGGCACCAACACCAACGGCGATGTCCAAGTCTGCTGTGCTTCTGAAACATGTCAAAGTACCTGCGATCAAAACAACTGCTCTATTCATGAGGATGGCGACAGCTGTTGCCCCGACAGCATTGCCGAGTCGGACACGGAGTGCGGAGTCGACGGCGGTGCTGCACCATGTATCCTTGGTAAGCGCCCGAGGTAGCTTGTACGCTGTCATGCGAGAGTCGACACCGCTCCACTTGAATTGGACAGTGTACTCCTGAATGTATGCGTGTGCATTGTGCTCTTAGTCACTTGCAACGTTTCCGAGAGAACAAGTAATCATGGCGTTGGTCGTAGATGTAAAGGTTTTATTGGCAGCTCGCAGAAGCAAGAGCGTGCGTCGTCAGGCGTGACCTCTTGCTAGAACGTCGTGCTGGTTCTAGACTGCTGTGGGTGTACCGACGTCGTTTTCTTCTCCACCCTGTCCCACTTTGATAATCGATGCCAGTCGTGACTCTCCAGATGTGCACCCCCCATCACATGCCGCCCCTGCACACCCATCCATAAAGAGATGGTCTTCGGAACTTTTGTGTTTTTTTCTTCCCGTCACTTTGGGGTGTGACCCACTCTCTAACGTCATTTTGATCGCAACGGTGTTTTTTGGATTAGAGCCAAGGGCTGGTGCTTTTTGGAGAGCTTCAAGCGTGCGTGCATTCCATTGTAGTTTTTTCCGCCGGAACGCAAGCCATTCGAGGGTGAATGTCCGGGGGAGTGCATTTCCAAACTTGATTTCGCACAAACTACCAAGCACACGTTGGTCGGTGTTGGCCGTCCTCACCGTGTTCGTCGTCAAGACGGCGGTGGCTGGTGTGCGATTTTCTGTGCTCATCTCCCGTTGTCCTGCTTTTGCTTGCACACGTCCTTGGTCGTGGGCCGGCGTTTCGCGTCTCTTCCCTGCGTGTCTTTTTACGGGAAGACGGGCGAATTGTTCGTGGCTAGGGGGATGGTCTCTCACCATTAGTGTGCCATGCAGTGTCTCGTTCCACCCACCTTGTGTGTTCTGGATGCTTTGGGCTGTGGCTGCAATCTACGGCGGCGCGTTTTGACCATAGGTCTGGGTTTGGAACGATTGCTCGGATGCGGAAGCGCTGTCGTTTTGGTCAATGTGGAAAATCCCTCGGTGGCCTGAAAAATGACGAAAGCGACCAAAGCAGCGTGCAGTCCATTTTCTGCGTGAAAAATGGTTTGCGGCGGGGCGCGATCGCGCGATCGCATACATGCTCACTTGTGATGCGTTAATCGTTTCCCGACAAAGATGACGTAGTGTTCAGACCAGCATCGGCGACACTAGTTTTACGGGTTGCCACTTTTGCGGACCAGGGTGCGAGAATGATCACAAAGGGATTACTGGCACCAACACCAACGGCGATGTCCAAGTCTGCTGTGCTAACTCTTGTGGCAACACCTGCGATCAAGACACCTGCTCCACTTATGGGGATGACGACAGCTGTTGCCCCGACAGCATTGCCGAGTCGGACACGGAGTGCGGAGTCGACAGCGGTGCTGCCCCGTGTATCCTTGGTAAGTGCCGGAGATAGCTTGTACGCTGTCATGCGAGAGTCGCCGCTCCACTTACATTGGACAGCGTACTCCTAAATGTATGCGTGGGCGTTGTGCTCTTAGTCACTTGCAACGTTTCCGAGGGAGCAGCGACAATGCTGTTGGTCGTAGATGTAATGGTTTTGTTGGCAGCTCGCAGAAGCAAGAACGTGCATCGTCAGGCGTGGCCTCTTGCTAGAACGTCGTGCTGGTTCTAGACTGCTGTGGGTGTACCGACGTCGTTTTCTTCTCCACCCTGTCCCACTTTGATAATCGATGCCAGTCGTGACTCTCCCCATGCGTACCCCCATCACATGCCGCTCCTGTCACGCCCAGCCGTGGAGAGATGGTCTTCGGAACTTTTGTGTTTTTTCTTCCCTCCACTTTGGGGTGTGACCCGCTCTTTCACGTCGCCTTGATCACAGCGGTGTTTTTTGGATTGGAGCCAAGGGTTGGTGCTTTTTGGGGAGCTTCAAGCGTGCTTGCATTCCACTGTAGCTGCTTTCGCCGGAACGCAAGCCATTCGAGGGCGAAGGTCCGGGGGAGTGCATTTCCAAACTTGATTTCCGGAACTACCAAGCAGCTAGCGAAGATCCCGGGCCATTGGAGTCGGACTGTCGTATGAGCACGTTTCCGGCTGCTCACGTGCCTGCAAAACACGGGTGTTTCGGCCGGCTGATTGTCAGGTAACCCAGTCTCCGATTCCTCCTCGGGTTTCTCGCTCTTGTGTTGTGGCCTATTGCCCCGTCAATGCCTGCTCTCAAACCAACTGAAGAAACAGCTCCCGCGCCTGCCGTATCCGAACAAACCGAAGATGATTCGACCGAGGGTGACGACGATACACCAGCTCCCACACCTGCTGAGACCGAAAGCACCGAAGTCGATTTGAGCCAGGAGGCCGACGATGACGACTCAAAATCCGCAGAAGGTGAGGGCTAACTGCAAACGGAGAAAAGGGTCGTCCCAACGTTGCCCTGCCGATAGCCCTCACGCGTCTTACAGTCCTCGCCATGTGCCACTGTCAGGCGAAACCTCTTCCTCGCTGTCCTGTGCAGCCAGCCTAGTTGGCGTCGCGTGACGTTTATGTACTAATTTCTACGACCACATGTACAAATAGCGACGCTGGCGTATGGCTCTCTTGCTCCCTTGTCGTACGCCATTCTTAGGGGAACGGGAAATCGTGCTTGCCTCTCTGGTTTAGTTCGCGAGAACGCAAGCCATTCGATGGCGAAAGTCCGGGCGTTTGCACTTCCGAACTTAGTCCAATAAATTACCAAGCGACTCAGCGAACGCCTACTTCGACCTGTCGTGTGTCCTGTGTACGAACCACAAGAACGAGCTCATGCGTCTATCACCGCAGGTGCTTCGGTCAGGTACCACTAACGTTAACTCGACCTCCGATTGCCTCCTCGCGTTCTCACTTTCTTTCTTTCTTTTTTCTGTCGACCCCATCAACGCCAGCTCCAGCACCAGCTCTCGCAGAACTTGTGTCCACATCGGATTCAGACGGTAAGGGCCTTCTGACAGGCCGCGAACGGATGAGTGTGGAACCTGGACGTTGCTCCGCCGATGTAGCCCACACGCGTCTTACCGTTCTTGCCGTCTGCCGCCGCCAGGCATACCTGTGCCTTCGTCGGTGCAGCCAGCCTAGTTGGTGTCGCGGGTTAGATTGTACCAGTGGCAACGCTGGCGTAGTTTTCGCACACCGGTCTACGGTGAGGAACGAAGGGAGAGAACCTTCCACCATAGATAAGACAGCAGCTTCCCCCACGGTATTCTCGTCCGGCCAATCTATCTATGACTCCAGGGCGGCTAGGTTTCAGTGAGCAGGGGTTTGTCTCGCGAGATGAGTTATTTGTCCGGAGATGCACTGTATGGTCCGCGGGTGTATCGTGTCTGGCGCAACGTGATGCCTGCAAGCTAGACATTCGAAACTAATTTGGTTCCTGAAACGGCTGTTTGATGCAAACGAATTGGTCTTCTTTCGATAAGGCAGACAAGGAATCCCTAGTCTATTCTTCAGGTTAAGGGCGGGGGGGGGTACAGCAGTTGGGAATGTTTCCTGCAAAACGCTTTTTCATGGCAATCCTCCCGCGTTCCTTGCCCGTGTGCTTGCTCATCTTGTTTCCCCACTCTTGTTCGCGCACCAGGTACGTCATCGGCGGTCATCGCGCTTTCAGTGTTGCTGGCTGCTTTGGTGCTGGGTAACATAGCTTGCTTCGCATGGTGCCTCATGCGGAGGCGTAAGGAACCCCCGACTCCGCCCCCCGCAGGCCGCCGTGATGCCAACACCGAAGTGGAACTAGGTCGTCTTCGGTGAGAGCCACCATGGAACTGCAGTCGTGTGTTTTGTCCATTGTCGAAACGGGCTACAGTCCCTCACGCGGGCATCCCAGTCAAGAAGTTTGAGTGTCGGGCGTCGCCAAAGAGTGTCATGTCATCGTAATGTGCCACGCAGAGCCTCTCTCTCAAGAGCAGCACGGAAAAATAACCGTAGAACGGTTTACTCGAGGGTATCAGGCTAAAAGTAGGGGGGGTTGGGAGCTTGAGGGCAGGGATAGAGGTGCCATGATAAGTAGCATCCGTATCACTTCTGCCTCTTTGACCGCTCAGCGGTGGTGTCCAAAGGCCGTAATGTTCTTCAAGCAGAAAGGGCATGTAGCTCGAGGTCGTTCTGAAAGTGCTTTGGCTGAGATTTTTCGTGGTGCTGGAAGGTTTTTCTCCGTGCTGCCGCGTATGCAATCGGAGCCTAACTTCTCTTTGTGCAAGGAAGAGAGAGTGGAAATACTTGCGCAACATGTGCTGCGTTTTTACACAATTTCGTGAAAACCCCTGTGGAGCAATTCAAGAAGCAGGAAGCGGAGGGAGGGAGGGAGGTGAAAGGGGAGATAAAGTCGGGCGTCAAAGAAAACAACGGTTGAAAAACCCACGGCGGGAAAGTGTCATTCGGGGTGGAATTGCGATTTGTTTTTTATTTCCCCGCATCTTCAAAAAGGAGACTTGCGGATATTTTCCAACGGCGTTTTCGAGCACCCGTTCTTTCTTGATCGGAACAAACCCGTGGTTGGTATCTACCCGAGTATCGTCGCGGTTGGACCTATTCTTTGATGGTGGGTGTGAAGCTCTGGGTGGGCACACCTAGACTACGTCATTAGCGTGCCCGTCTGTGATATTTTCGGTCCTCAACAAGTGCTTCGCATGTTGGTTGACCTTCTCGCTTCGTGCAAACGCGCGGCATCTTGCGCCGCAGGAGGGACCTCGAGACTGAGCACACAAGGCGCGTCAAGGCTGAGACCCTGGTGCATCGGGCGAAGGGCGGCGGGCTACGCTCTGGCGACTTCCCCAGCGTCCGCGACGTGTATCAGCACGTGTATCAGCTGGCGGACGACGCGCTCGCGTGGACCGAGAAAGCCTGCGCCGTCGGCGGGTCCCACCCTGCCTTGAACGGGACGGTACTGAGCGTCCTGTACAACACTTTCCTGGTCTGCAGGGAGGAGGTGCAGCGGTGCTTGGACGAGCGGCTCCAGAACCTGTCGGCGTTCCTGGGCAACGACGAGCCCATCCTGCTGTCGGCGGGCGACGAGATGAACCTGGACACGCAGTACGTGCTGTACGAGTGCCTCTGCAAGGACTACCAGAGGATCGTGCCCGCGGACCCGGACCGGATGGACGCGCTGGCTGGGGTCGTCCTTCAGCGCTGCGGGGAGCCTGCGGACAGGAGCCTCGCCAACGAGATCCTATCTGGCGCCACGTGGCCTTCCTTCGAGGCCCTCATGAAGAACTACTTGCTGGTTTTCGTCGAGGTGTGTTACAACATTAACACTTGCGTGAAGTTTGTCTTGGGGGTACGAACGACGGCACCCTTGCGTGAGTCGAATACCTCGTAGCGAATACATGGAAGTGAATTAAGAATGCTAGTGCACGCTTGCACAGCGTGAACGCACACGTAGATGCGGGTGAATTCGCATGGGTTGGCGATGGCGGATCGAGGGGGCGGCGTGCGTCACGAACGAGACGGCCTCCCACTTAGTTGTATGGCCCCTCCCGCCAAGTACGCATCGGATCTGACAACAGGACTGCCGACATCGTAATATCGATGGAGACTATGTACTACGTTGGTTCTCCGCATTCCGATCGGCACTAATAAAAAAATGACCGCATTGTGTACATGCAAAACGCCATTAGACACAGCACCAATCGCTCCGAAATGTCGCGCCCTCCGCACAGATGGCCCTCCAGAAGCCAAGGGTGGAGTTCGAAGACAACTTGGGGGATGCCATGACCTTCGACTCTATCATTCACCGGGACTGGGCTCCATACTCCAAAGCACCCGCCGGGCAATCGTGTTCCATCGTTTTCCCGGCCATACGTCCTCAAGAGGGCCGGCCGACGTCAAACGCCAAGATCGGAGTTGTGCGCCTCCCCGCCTAGACCTCCTTCGAAATTGCGATGGAGGAGGGACGGAAAAACCTGCGGGGTAGGGTCACAGCGGAGGCCAGTGGATCGCGGTATTTTTGCCGACTTGAGTTACAAAAGGAATACACGTGTGCGCGCAGGTGGTCGAGGTGATGGCCGTCCCATGTATACCTTTCGCGGACCATGTACTCCGTTCCCTATGATGCACGCATGTTGCACAGCGACTTCATGTCGCACAAGGCGATAGGTTGAGGCCCACATATGCATGATGAGTAGAAATGTACTTGTAGATCTCTCGTTTGGGAAAACATACGCTAGAAATATTACGAAAAATGCTGAAATGCCGTTAAGGTTGGTGGGCGAGAGAAGGAGCAGCGTCACGTAGTTCGATTAACTTTTCGTCATGTGGCAACGCGTGCGGTCGGCAACGTACGTGTACGAGATGTGTTTGGGTCTAAAGTAGGAGCACGCCATGCTCTAGAGCTCTCTGACCAGTTAGTGTTCGAGGGTCACGAAGCGGCATCCACGTCAATGGCTTGGTATTGTTTTGGATGACGAAAAACTATTTTATTATCGTGTAAGTTGACTTTGTTTTTTTTTTAGGCTGGAGTTGAGTCTTTGCGACGTTTTGGGTTGTCGTTTCCCTGGCTCACTACTGTAGGAGGTGGTACGCTCGTGTTCGGTGGTGCCGTACGACTCAAGTCCGTCGCACCTTGCAGCTGGGACCCAATCCGAAAGATGGAGTCTTGCGTCATGGAATGTTCGGTAGTGTTTTCTGTTTTTCTGTCTACCGCACGGTGGAAGTAGCAGTACAATTGCCTCATCTATCATTTGCATCCAGGAGGGCTGTGCGGCTTGAGTGCACACGAAGCAAGTGTTACGATCATTCCTGTGTTGTCATTTAGAAGAAAGTTGAGGAGGCGGGCCAGCGAACCCCATGGTATATCAAATGCCAAGGTATGCGCGAGCGAGTGTTTTTGGAGCGCGAGTGATGAATGTATGTAGGAAATAGTGGGAAAAAATAGTAGCCGATAATTTCAACCAGACTTCGGGGGGTCGAGTCAGTCAGGTGCTTCAAACGAGGTCAAAATTGTGATGGGTGTAACGAGGAGGGTTCTCGTGAAATCTGTGGCAGGAATATCACCTGCTGCACAGAAAAAGTTAGATGCAAGACAGGTGCAATTTATTTGTGCAAACATGTGGCCTAGTCCCCCTATCGCAAAACTGGGGTTTCTGATGCGACTAACAAAAAAAGCTTACGGAAGCGATCTGTACTACTTCATTTTATTGGTGATGGTGTGATATGATGCGATGTGATGTGACAGCCAATCAATAACCTATTTGAACAAACCGCACTTCGTTCCCAATGTCACGCTTTGGCTGCGCCAGCGTTGTGTGTTGAACATAATACTGTACGTACCCAGCGATATCACCTGGTTTGAACAACAAGGCGCTGATGGGTGTGGGAAGACGCGCTCTCCTCCTGCACTCGGGAAAAGCCCAATCGGACTGAGTGGCGTCTCTTGCCGCCAAACCGGTTCAAACGGGGCACAAAACGGGCACGCACGCGGTCATTACACTGACAATACATGATTTTTTCGTACTTATTCGATGCTCTTTTTTATCGTTTTTCTTTTGGTTCTCGAAACAACAATGAACAAGAAGAGTTACGACCTACGCCTAACTATATAAGCTGGCAAAGGTGAGTCTCGTTTGTGGTGCTTTTTTTGTTTGTTGTTGTGTCATACCGCTACACTGCCTGGCGGAAAATGTGTTGATTTTTGGCCCCCCCCAGCTCTTGGCGTGCCGAGAACAAGGTCACCCACCCCTATTGGTACGCCTGAAGAAAAAGCAAACTATACCAGGCCTGCTCGTTCATATAGACGGAAAGATCCTGCAGCCCTGTTACTGTAGCATCTTGTTGTTCTCGCTCTGGACAAAGTTCTTCCTCGTTCTCGAGCAACAAAAGTCAAAAAGTCGGGCAGATCTTGTACAAGTATGTACATGCTGCTTGATTGCGTTCGATTCTTCCACGCTTTTTCAAGAAGTTTGCGGGAGCTGGCTGATGGACCACAAATCTGCAGACCATATGCGTACGTACCATGAAATTTCCCCGGGCAGGAGTGCAAACGCGGCGTTTTTTGTTCCCCTCTTTTATTGCGGGTCATATTTCACCCAACTCTGCTGCATCGACTGCGGCATCGACTGTGTTTGCGTTGACGCGCGTGAGTTTGGACGCGAGTTTGCGACAGGATGGTGAGTCCGCAAGGGTTTAAAGTTCGCCGCTCTAGGGGCTCTCTGTCTGATCATCTGCAATGATGCAGCTTGTCGTCAGCAGTTTTTCGTATTTTCTCTCATATTCTTCTCCCTTCTGACGGAGCAAGGCGGTCGCCCCGGTGGCCTGTGGGGTAGGTAGCCTCTCGTAAACCTAGATGCTCGCAGAAGGTAGTGGGTGTCAATCTCTCTCGGGATTGACGGTTTGCTGTTCTGTGGAGGAGAGGCGACTTTTCGCGAGGAAACGCAAACTACACAACTTTCTGTACGCTGAACCGTTCCTGCTGCTGAGTGACACAAGATAGCACACCCTCGATGATAAAACCTGAAATCATTCCTGAAGCAACTTGCATAAACAGTAACTCCTCTATCTAACAACAACATAGTTGAGACCCCAGTGAGTTACAGGTTAATCATCTAGCTTCAGACAACATATCGCATCCGCTCATTGCTGTACAGTCTCGAAGGACGACTTGGTTTTATACCCACAAAGGTGTCCCCAAATAATAAGCGGAAACAAGCGGGCGGGGGACATTTTTCATTTTTCCCACTGAAGCCAAGTCGCATTTTTTTTTTTTTTTTCTTAATATGACACCACGAAACCATCTCCATCATAGAAAAGAGTCTGAGACAGATTAGCAATGGATCCATAGCGTCAGAAAAGTACCTGTATTTTTTCTAAATTTTCAGGGCTGTCGCGGCAATTTTTCTGCGCGGTGATGACGGTAATTTGCGAAGGTGTATATATGCATACTGCTGTACGGCTGTAGGTATACCGATTCTGGTAAGAGTCAATCCACGGATACCCTGCTAATCGGGTCCTCCCTAACACTCTTCTTGTGGCCAGGACGGGTAATTCGATGGAAGTGTCTCAAGGTTCTTCGTAGGATCGACTCCAAAGACTGATACACATTTGTATCCGCGGGGGGAACATGTCCCAAGTCAGGAGAAAAATGTGCCCGCCCAAGGAGATTCGAACCAGTATCCTGCTGACGCCACATGCGAAGGAGTATGCATATACCGATTCTCTCTGGTAAAAGTCAATCGACGGATATCCTGCGAATTGGGTCCTCCTTAGCAAATTTCGGTTTACTTACGTTGTTACCAAAGAGTAAAAAAGTCCATGCGCAGACCCAAGCCGAAGGCGACATGCGGCCCCCAACAGGGGCCCCCCTGGAGGGCCCGCCGCCCGGGCAGGGCCCTCTCCCCGGAGGAGACCGCGGAGCGAAAAAAATGGGCTCTTCCGTATAAAAATCAACCAAATATATAGCGTAGAAGTGCCAATTATTGTGTTTTTCACGTGTGTGTTTTGATGGCAGATTATGTCTCTTTCTAGCACCAGCCCCCAAGGAAAAAAATTCGCCTCTGGCGAAAGAAAAGGGCCGCAAAAAAATTCGTCGAAAAGATGCGGCCCAAATTTTTTCTTGCGGCAAGCCGCAGATTGGCCCCCGGGGATCCTGCGCTGAGAACATATTTTCGAAGGAATCTGCGACCCCGCAGGGCCGCAGGGCCTTTTTTACTCTCTGGTTGTTACCATGACAAATCGGAATTTACCGTTCCGATCCAAATCGTTGCCTCACATAGGTTTTGCCGCCACCACCCAAATCATTACCGAACAGATTGCATTGCCCCATTACCGAACCAAAAATCACCGCGCTATAATCGCAGGCGTTTGTACCTTAACCGCAAGATTGGTAGAACCCAATTAACCTGTGCGGTGCATTACCGTAAGCAAGAGATACTTCCTCTGTCGTCGCTAGGCCTACGGGGAACCACACGGCACTGAGATGGTGGAGGACGGGGGTTGAATCTCTTCTATAGCCTGGTTGAAAGATCCGGCACATGTTGTAGATAGGCTACCTACATACATTATGGTGTTTGCCTTTTCATTTTTTTAACTGATGATGGTATCATTGTAGCTGGCGTCAGCAGGCGAGTGAATCCAGGATGTTGCAGCGGCGTAAAAAAATCGCGTTGGTAGGCGCCGGCTCAGACTTTGCTGGCACCGCTGTGAGCCACGCCGTTCCTCCGCCAGGGTTGTCTACCTCCTCCGCTTCCGTGTTCACTGTGTTTGTGGGCATACCCATGCGGCTGCTCGTGTGTGTACAAGTCCTCATCACCAGCTGTGATACTGGGGGCTCCATGGGTGAAATGCGGGAAGAGGTTTGGGGGTGTGCTATCTTACCACCGGCGTGACGACTTCTTCTGTACTGGCGGCGTTTTCTGCCTCGCCCAGTTAATTTTATCTCTCTGGGCTTGGTTTGGTGGTGATCTGTTCCTGTTCAGTTTTTTCGTTTGGGTTGGGGGGCATGCAAAGCTTGGTCCGCGCCTTTTCGCGTGGGAAAACTTTTCGCCCAAACATCGTGGCCATTTATTAGCGTCGAAGAGCGCAGAAGAAGCGAAGATAGTGGATAGATGCATCGGGGAACGGATCGTATGGTGGAAGAAGTGCAGGGAGTTTCCATCGATTGCTGTTGTCGTCCTGAGACTCGGATGGATCTAAACCGCCGTTTTCTGTTCTCCCGCGCTTGTTTGCTCTGCGCTAGCCAGCGTTATTGGGGTAGTTTTCGATTTTTCAGGGCGCTGATTGGAGCGCCCTCCATGGCAAGGAAACATTAATTATTTGGGTACACGCGCACAACATGCAGGGTAAGCTTGTTTGCCAGGGACCGCCTCCCGATACCCCTCACAACGGACAACTTCCGCCCTCCGCCTTTCGCACCTCCCACACGTGGACAGATGCTGCGGACGCGATGGGCGACATTTGCCGTGCTCGCCCTGTTCATCATCCGTTCCGGGGAAGGTGTGAATATTGACTGTTGTTCTGGGACCCCCAATAGGCGGTTAGCTACTGTAGTTACCTCTGAGGAGTGCACGACGCGTTGTCGGTTATTGCAACCCCGGGATGTTTTTTGTTTTTGGCGTGTCACTACGATGTGGATGCACCCGAGGGCTTCTGAACCATGCCCTCGGTGCCGACGGTAAGCGGGGAGCGCTGGTGTGAAGTCCTCAAGGCGTGCAGTTATTTGCTGACACGTGAGGACCAGCCGCATCGGAGTGCCGCCGCATGTTGTTGTTGTTGTGGTGGTTCGTGAGATGTAAAATTGCGTCCAGACCCCCATCCGGTACATGTTCCGTACTGTTCCAAGCAAAGAAACGATGTCAACGGCGGCGTCAGGGTGACCCAAGAATTACGTGGTTAGAACATCCGCGCTACTTGGTACTCGCGATACTCAGCAAGAACCGTCTGCAGTAAGCCGCAAAAAAGCACCTTTGCTTCCACCAGAGAACAGCGGATACGCCCTTGGCCGATGGACGTACGTATGTGGAACGAGACGTTTCGATGGGCTGTTTGGTGGGGCTAAAGCGCAAACGTGGGGCGGTGCCTTTTGCACGCGATTCGTGCTGCTGCTTGGAGGATTTGGATGTTCCGAAGTTGTGTTTTCTTTCTCGACTTGCGCGCACCGAACAACTGTATCCAAGCGGATGAGAGGTGCACATACGACCGGGAGACGACCCGCACCAGAATTTTAATTCCCTTCACGCGAATCGGGGCCGTGGCTCGCTTAGTAGCGACCTGCAATCGTACATGCGTTTTTTCTACTTTCACATCACACGCGACAGCCACTCCGAGCCGACGATGCCGCGATGTAAAAATCCGTCGTTCGACTGCAGCACAGTCCATCCGCCGAGCTGCCTTAGTGCATGGACAACGGGATTTGTTTTCATGCTGGCGAAGCGATCCGGGGCGAGCCGATTGGCAAACCCCTTTACCTGCATGCCTATACTTGCGCAGTTACCTTTGAATCCGGCTTTGGAGGCGGATATTTCATATGACCACGTTTGTTTCTCCACTTCCTTCACGTTTTTCGACCGCTAGTGCTTCGACCCGCTGACCCAAGATTAACCCAAACCTTCGCCTTCCTTCTCGTGCGACCCACCAGCACAAGGGGATCCTCCCGGAGGTGAGGTCTGTCTTCTGCCAGACAGAAAAGGGGGGAAAGGGGGCCGCCACCAGCGTTTTCTGAAGCGACAGACCCTTTGCCCACATTGCAGTCTATCAAGCGACTGTCTCGCGAGCGCGTCCGTGCCTAGTTCTTGGAGCACGAAGTCTATCAACTCCTAGATTGGAGCACTTTCTTTCATGGGCGTGATTCTCCTCCTCAAGTACCGGCAGGATTCCTTCTGTCGCTGGAAGCCCAGCGCTCAAGGTTCAGTTGTTGCTTTGACATCGTCGGAGCGTTTCGTTGTGCCTAGAGGTACGGCGCCTGGCGAACGACCCACACGTGTCAGTGCAGCTAATGTAGATTCTCTGATCAACTTCGGGCTCTGATGGCGACCGTCGCCTGTTCTTGGTCAAGCACCCGGTGTCGTTTTCGACGTCGCAATCTCCTACCGCAACGGTGCTGGTTGAGGGCTATCTGTTGTGTGGCTTTCACCTTGAAGAAAATGTGGCTTTCCATCTTGTGCGTAAACGGCTCAGGCGTCCTTGCGGACAGCATCACGGAACAGCGCAGGGATGTCCTCCCACCTCATGCCGATGCTCCCAGGTCACAACCATGCCGAGCGTACTTTCCGGCAGGCCGCTGCTGTTTTTTCCAGAACGAAGCCCTACGCCCGATCCCCACACATCCAGTGAATGCACGGCACGGCAGACGACTAAACCAACGCCCGACCTCCCACCTCGTGTTTGTCTCGCTTGTGTTTTGTCGAAGCCACCCCTTCAGGGCCTCCCACACCCACGCCCGTTGGCGACTCAGTAGGTCAGAGGGGGGAGCGATAAGGGTTAAGGGGCCTCCTGCCAGGCGGCAAATCATGGGAGGAGGCGCCCCCAACGCTGTTGCTCCGCAGAAAAAAAGGAAACGGGTACCTTTGGTGCCGTCGTTGTGGTCTGTCCCCGTCAAGCAACAGTTCCGCGGGCGCCTCCTTACCTCTTTCGTGTCGCTCCGAGGTCTACGCCCTAACATTGGGCACCACCTAGCAGAAATATTTGACGCAAGTAGCATGCGTTTTTCCTCCCTGTACTTGGTAGAGACCACCGGGTGCAGGAAGGACAGCCCCCGCCCCACGACGCTACAACGGTTCCCGGCATTTAATGTTCGAAGCTTGGTGTTCAGCGGGGGGGGGGGGTAAGCTCTGTCTTTGGCAGAAGGTTAACTACACTACATTTTTTTGTTGTCAACGAGAGGTTTTCGTAATGATAACCGTCGACGGAGAAGCTGTTCAAGGGAAGACGGGGCCGGGGGGCGGCTAAAGCATCGGCGGTCTCCGACGAGAGGACTCGCGAACGCTCGCTCTAACGCCCTGCTGCTGCAGTAGCCCCACCAGATCTCCTGTTCGCACCTTTGCAACCGCACTCGTGCCTTTACCAGCTGAACCCATCGCCCCTTCTCCTCCTTTCGCTATGTTTTTCCAGGACCACTGCCTACACTATTGCCAACGGTGACTACGTCAGCACCAATGGGTACGCCAGCACCAATGCGTACGCCAGGACCAATGCGTACGCCAGGACCAATGCGTACGCCAGGACCAATGCCTACGCCAGGACCAATGCCTACGCCAGGACCAATGCCTACGCCAGGACCAATGCCTACGCCAGGACCAATGCCTACGCCAGGACCAGTGCCTACGCCAGGACCAATGCCTACGCCAGGACCAATGCCTACGCCAGGACCAATGCCTACGCCAGGACCAATGCCTACGCCAGGACCAAAGGTGCCGCCTACGCCTGCCCCAACGCCTACGCAAGAACCCGCGGTGCTGAGTACGGATGACACTTCGGACAATGGCGGCAGCAGCACCACCAACGATGACCAGGCCAGTACCGACCGGGACATCACGAACGAAGGCGACGACGACGGAGCGGTGGTTGCCGCAAGTGACGCCTCCGACTCAGAATGTAAGTGCCTCACGGCCTCGCGCCACATAGACGCAACATACCCACCCAAGGAGACGCCTCTCGAATGCACCTCCGCCGACGAGCTGCTGTATGGGCACCTTGCCGTCGTTACGTCTGCCGCTGTCTTTGCAGTCGCTCCGTGGGCTCACCGTTCTATTAACTGGCACCGTTGTGAAGGGTCTGAGTTCCGTTGGTTCACCTAGCCCCGGGGCTCAATATTGGCATAGGTTGTAAAAACACACACTGCCATTTTCCTGGCGAGAAAGGCAAACGGCCTGGAACGCGAGTTGCACAGTACAGGCGGATTTTTTCGATGCCATGTTTACATCCTGAAATCGATTGCCCCCCCCCCCCCCCCCCCCCCCCCGTTATG